GCTGGTGCCAGCTCCAATCATTCTGCACCCTCAGCAGGGGCGAGCGGGCTGGCACAGTCAGTGCATGGGAGCAGCTGCAGCAGAGCAGGATTGCTAGACAATGGACTAGGGGCAGTGGCAGGAGGGACTGGGTGGGGGCGTGGAGGATGGGCCGAGACCTTCCCCTGTGCCCACTGCAGCCTTGCAGCACACAGTTCCTTTCAAGGTGCATGAATTCATGCACTGGGCTCCTAATGTATACTAATAATTACATTCTCTTTCATGTTACGGAATTGCTTAGCTAAAAAACTAGAATATTTGTTATTAAAAGTAAATCATAAAACAAAACAAAACACTGTTTTGGGGGTGCCCTGTAAAGGGAAAGTTAAATAATTTTCCACAATATTTACTTCTATTCACTTCTGATATTTGATTAAGAGCACTGGTTTAGAATCACAATCTTAGGTTTTAAGATCACCATTGCCATCTATTTCCTGTGTATCCTTTTGCAAGTGACTTAATCTCTTGAAGCCCCTATTTTCCTAATGTTTAAAGATATAAAAGCTTCATCTCAGCAGGTTGTTGTGAGACTGGAAGGAGATAATAAATGCCATGTGCTCAAACACACTGATGGTCACTGAGTAAGCACAATAACTCATGCTAGATATTACTATTATCATTATTACTGCTTATTTTATTTTTCCAATTTTATTGAAATATAATTGACATATAATACGTAACTTTAATGTATATAATATGATGATTTGATACATGTATATATTGTGAAAAAATTACTATGACAAGGTGAATTGATAAACCCATCTTCTCACAGTTATTATTTTTGCATGTGTGTTGAGAACATTTAAGATCTACTTTCTGCAACTTTCAAGTATACATTACAGTGTTAACTGTAATTACATACTGTACATTAGGTTCCCAGAAATTATTCATCTTTAACTGGAAGTTTATACCTTTTGATCTACATTGCCCTGTTCCCCCGGCTCTCCTAGATTTCAGAAAGCACCTTTCTACTCTTTGTTTCTATTAGTTCAACTTTTTTATATTCCACATATAAGTGAGTATACAGTATTTGTCTTTCCCTAATTTTGCTGCTATTATTTTATATTCAAGTGATAAGAGCCTGGATAATAAAGCACTCATTCAATTAATTTATAGAATCCAGCTTAATCACACACACACACACACACACACACACACACACACAAGCATGTGCATATATGCAGCTTTCATTTACCACAGTTGTAATTAAAATCCAGAAAGGCACAAATTAGTATGAAATGTTAAGCTGGGAAGTATGAAATTTTCATTAATGATAAAGTGTAGAAAGAAAAGTTAAATTTAGAGGAATTTAAGAAAGAACGGGGCTCAAATTATTCTCCTAGAATAAGCAATAGCATAAGAGTTAGGAAGACCAGTGGACCACGGGTCAGGACAATGGGGTTTTAATTCTGTCTTTACCATCCCAAGCTGATAACTTTAGGCAAACCTCCTATTCTCCCTAGACTGTTTTTCCTTAATGGGAAACTAAGAGCACTCATTTTTCTTTTAGATTATCTAAACAACAGAAAAACATCATGGGGCTCTGGATCCTCCTGTAAATAGCTAATTACTATTAATTAATATTTAGACTTCTTAATTAGCATTAACCAGGAGGCCCATTAGATAAGGAGGTCCTCAACCTGTCTACTCCCAGGGTCAAACTGAGAAAGTGGACACATAGCAGGCACTCAGTAAATGTTGAATATTGGCTTTTATATATTTGTTGGATATCCTAAATCAATCTACTTTTGAATAAGTTCCATGAGAATTTATGTGGGGGAAAATTCTATAACTGACAACAGATAAAATGTATGCATATCATTGATAAGTGAGTGGTCCTAAGACTTCAGAAAGAAACATATTAGCATAGGGGCTCAGAGTAAGAAATCTAAGGACAGAAAATAAAGGAGATTAGAAAGAAATAAGGAAAACATAAAAACCTGCTGAAACTATGGAGAAAGTACTTAAATGTTTTAAAATAGTTCTCTCTCTCTCTCTCTCTCTCTCTCTCTCTAACACACTCCCTCTCTCTCTCTCTCTCTCTCTCTCTCTTTCCCTCTCTCTCTCTCTCTCTCTCTCTCTCTCGCCTTTCCAATGCTGGAACAGGGAAGAGGATAGACATGGAGCTGAAAGTCACCTGGAGCAAACCTGAGATTTGTTTGAAGTCTCTTATTTCATATAAAAAACTTCAAATGAAGCCTGCTTTTGAATCTATAATGTATCAGAGTTTGTTTTTTGTTTAAATTTTTTGGTGAAATTATTTACATTACTTAACTCCTTCTTGCAAGTACTTAAGTAAAACTGATGCTCTAAAACACACCTGGTGGCTCATAGCTCTACCTAGCCACCACCAAGTATGCGTATCCCAGTTTATGAAGCATAGTTCTTTTTATTTAATAAACAGCACATGCACATAGTTTTAAAAATCCAACAGAACAGAAAATCTTTCAATGAAAAGCAAGAATCCCCTCCCCACCCTTTCCCATATTCAGTACCATTCCCTAAAGGAAATCCCATCAGTGCACAACTGTTTTTATTTTCTAAGCGATTACTTACATATCTCCAAATAATGTTTATACCACCATTTCTTGTTTTATGAATTATAGACAACATCCTTAGAGTTCTTGCTATGAGAGATGAAAATTTAGTTTCATCAGATCACCTGCTTCTTCCCTCAATAGTGAATTCAGTATTTTTACTTCAATATATTTATACTGTTAGGAGCATGTTTCTTTTCTAGTCCTGGCGTTTCCTTCCATACACAGGATTTTTCCTTAACATTCCTGGCTTCTTGGCCCACCTGTCATTATTCCTCATGGAGGTACAGTGAATTACTTGTTTAACAAGTGACAACCATTGATCCACCATTCTCGTTTGGAAAAACTAATCTCCCAAATGCCTTGGACTTAAGTATTTGTTTTCTTCTTTCCTCTCTACCCAGACCAACAAAAGGCAACAGCCTGGCTAAGTGTTTCTCTCTGTTGACTCAATCTTTCCCTTGGATGCGTCTACTGAGGTCTGAATTGAACAGGTAGACAGTTAGCAAAAACAAGCTCCAATCTCCAAACCATTCTTTATCTTTATAATGAAGATAATATTTTATCCTCTTTCTAATGACTTTTGTCTTTTCATTTGGCTCAGAATGTTAGTAAAGAACAAGGTCTATTTAAAAGGCTCCTCAAATAATCCAGCATCATTTTATTCATGTTCCATCAACCACAAACACTTTGAAAACATGAGTTTATCACTCCTGCCCTTCCCATGACCTCTTTGCCCTCCTGTTCCTCCCAGCTGACCACATTTTGCTTTTGTACTGTTAATGCATTGAAAACATTTGTATTGTTTTAAAAATTAAATATTCCTGGGTTAATAGTTCTAATACATGTTTCTGAACTATTAAAATATGGCAGGATTTTCAGGTGCTTATCTAGGCCTCAAGCTGATCCTAGTTGTACAAAGCCAGAACTGACTGAGTTCTGGGTGAACTTGTAAACCAGAAATTTCAGATAGGTAAGGCACTGTCTCAGGACAGGCTAATAAGGTGTTCAATGCCTAGACTAAAGGCAGGTAGGTTTGACTAGGACACAGACCCCAAGAGCCATACCCACAAAACAAGCCTGCTTCCTAGGCCAGCTCATTCTTTCCCTAGGATTTGGCACAGTTAAAAATTACTCAGGACTATTAAAAGCGTTCATAAATACCTTACCCATAGTGCAGAAGCCACCAGACTAATTCCTCTGCCAGAATTGATTCCCAAAGAGAACTACTTGTCTATTTACCTAACAGGAGGGCCAGGTTGATATTTCAAGTATTGTTCTTAAGATTTTAATTTACCATCACACAGTGTCTAAAAGATGTCAAGTGATTATTTTTCCAATAATATAATAATTTCCAATACAATGCTAAAAAAACAAAACAAAAACAAAAACATATAATGACCAAGGGCAGATATTTCTACGGTCTCTTATTTCTTTGGTATATATGACATATATCTATAGCAATAAAAGCATAATATGTAAATTGACTAAACGATCGAACAGCAGAAAGACCATCTAGACAACCTTTCTGATGATCATACTATGACACGTACTGGCGCCAGGCCACCCAAGGTGAGTGTCATGGGATTGGTAGAGGGCCCCACCATCACCCCATGATTGCCCCTCTGAGGGAGGCCTAGGCCACCCTCTTCAGGGCAATCGATTGGGGGGTTCTGTGGAACCCAGGAACCAAGGGTGTGTGATGGCAGATTGGGGCAGTGCTAGGCTAGGGCGGGTCTGGGTGGGGAGAAGGCGCTGGGGCTGTAAGAACAGGGGCTGTGAGAGTGGCAGTCGGGGGAAGGAAGGACTACCTTTGCATGAATTTCATGCATCTAGCCACTAGTAAATATATAAATTTACATATATAAAAGTGTGTGTGTGTGTGTGTGTGTGTGTGTATGTATATATATATATATATATATATATATATATATATATATATATATAGCATTAGCATTTAAAGTAATATTTGGCCTGCTGAGATAAAGTTATTTTGTTCAAAAGACATTAATTTTAGAAAACAGTAAATCAGTTTTCTAGATTCATACTTAAACATCACTTTCAGAATAAGCTCCAGGATGCCTGGCAGCACACAATAAAACAAAGAGGCACAGGCCGGGTGGGTCAGTTGGTTGGAGAGTCATGCCATATACTGAAAGGTTGCAGGCTCGATCACCAATCATGGAGGCAACCAATCTCTGTTTCTCTCTTTCCCTTCCTCTCTCTCTAAAAATCAACAAAAACATATTCTTGGGTGAGGATTAAAAAACAAACGAATGTAGGAGCACTCCTGTAAGAGTTAGTGAAAAACTTTTAAAAATCTTGTTTTAATACTATAGTTTCTTTGTACTGAAAGTCAAACACAGCTTTTTAAAGCGCAATCCAATGCAGCAGCCCTCAAAATGAACAAGATGTATAACTTACCTCTTTAACAAGGCTGTGGGCTTCATCCACATTGAAGCCAACCTAAAGGGGGAAAATAAAAGACAAAGCTGCTTGTAACACAGACTTCATCTTATTGGTAGTAAACAGAATTCCCTAGGTGAGCCTAGACAGATGTTAGTGAATATAAGGGAAATCCATTCTACTGAGGCTACTAATCCTACCTCAAACACTTAAATTATAGAATGCTTTTCACACCTACCTCCCTGGAGATTTTGATTCATTTGATCTGAGGCAGAACCTGGGCAACTACATTTTTAATAATGCTTTACTGGTGATTCTGATGAACACACTAGATTGAGAATCATTGAATTGGAGAGTGCAGGAAACTGCAGGAGGTGGATATAAAGATGTGTCATCAGTATACATGATATGGCTGCAGTGAAGTGAGAATGAGGTGGTCAATGAGAACAGAATGCTTATTACTTTAATTTTGTTTTTAACATGGTAGGCAAAAATATGGCTTTTCAGAATTAAGGATTATGAAAATACTGTGACCATTGTAAATTAATGACCCTTTAATCTATACTAATAAAAGAGAAATATGCAAATTGACCATACCTCAACACCCACCAGCCAATGAAGAGCAAGTATGCAAATTAACTCAACAAAGCTGGTGGGTTAATTTGCATACACAGGCATGGAGTGGCAGGGTGGGGTGAGACACCAGCTATGAGGGGGAGAACAGGGGTGCAGGGAGCTACAGGAATGGTGCTCTGGCTGGAGTAGAGAGGACTGAAGGCTCCTGCAGGAGCGAAGACTGAAGGTGGTCACCAGAGCGAAGGCCTGGGTCCCAGGTGCTGGAGGAAAACTGGTGCTGTCAGCCAGTGGAAGGAAGGCCTATTGCACAAATCTTCATGCAATGGGTCTCTAGTCTACACTAATAAAAGAGAAAAATGTTAACTCACCGTACCTTCGCTATGCCCACAGCCAATCAGGAGTAATATGCAAATTAACCCAGCAAAGATGGCGGGTAAATTTGCATTTCAAGCGGTGGAGGAGGCAGAGGCCCTATGTGACTAATGGAGTTGGGGACATGGACAGGCAACAGGAGGCAGCGCCTGAAGCCACCGGTGGATCCAAGCTGAGATGGGGACCTGGGCAGGCAGCATCAGGTGGCTTGGACCCGGGCAGGCATACCACCTTTCTGTGTCCAAGCTGCCCTGTGATCAAGGGGCAAAGAGCCATGGTCCAAGCTGCCCTGCAATTGTGGGGCAAAGAGCCTGGTTCCAAGCCGCTCTGTAATCACAGGGCCAACATGGCGGGCCAAGTCACCCTGCGATCACGGGGCAGAGCCTGAGCCCAAGCTGCCCTGTGATTACGGAGCAAAAAGCCTGGATCCAAACCACCCTGCGATTGCAGGCAAAAAGCGCAGGTCCAAGCCACTCCCTAATCATTGGGCAAACAGACCAAGCCGAGCTGATCCACGATAATGGAGAGAACAGAACAGGCCAGGCTGAGCTGACCTGCGATCATTGGGTGAACAGGCCAGGCTGAGCTGACCCCCCATGATCATGGTGAGAACAGGCCAGGCCAAGCTGACCTACGATCATGGGGTGAACAGGTCAGGCACAGCCTAGCCAAGCTGCCCTGCAATCTCAGGCGAAGAAGCCACCCTGCTGACCAACCTGTGCTATGGACCTGTTCCCCTGTAGCCTGTAGCCATGGGTAGTCTCCCTCCCCCCAGAGTTAGGAGCACCAGCCCAGGTCTACCAAGCGGCCTGGTTTTGACTGCGGGGGTGAGTTCCTGCAGGCTGGGGTTTGACCCTTATGCATTAGCAATAGGAGACCAGTGCCTTTGTTATTGCTATGTGTCTGGGTTTTAATTGGACAAATGCCCGGCGGTCCCGGTGGCCAGCTTAGCAAAATCTTTTTGGAGAATTCTGTCTGGGTTTCCTCAAATTCCCTCAGCCCCTACTTACCCCTCTGTAAAGGTGTAGAGCAAGTGAGGCCCTTAAATAAAAATCAGCTGCTTCATGAGTATGGCATCCTTTCTTATTTTAAAGGAAGCTGAGTTCCATGTGTACTATGCTATGATATCTGAGGCACAGGACATGGGAGGCCCTAAGTGTACCAAACTTTGTATTTGAGTCATTCTTTATTGTTCAATGTAATTTATTTCTGTACGCCTCAGTTTTGTAATAGTTAAATTACTAGAATAATACATCTTGCTAGGCTATGAAATATTACTAGAAGATCAAATGATCAGTTGACATTTATTATTATTTTCTATAAATGAACACAATCTCTGGTATGCTAAAGCAATAGGTATTACAGAAATATTCATATAGAGAGACCTACAGGCTTGATTACAAGTAAGGCTTACTATCACAACCCAAATTTATTGCTTGAAAAAAACCAGGGAGCCAACTAGAAACTGAACCAAATATAAGTCCTTGAAGGGAAAATGTAAATTGGATAAGCTTTGCTATTACAAGAGCAAGAAGAAAAATTCAGATGCAAGAATGAAAACCACATTGCATCCACTCTAAGTAGCTGTTAAAGAAAAAGAATGTTATACTATGAAAATACTTCATACAGATTGTAAAGACATTTGTTCAAAGAGGATTTGCTAGAGTAGGTGATATTTCAGTTAATTTTTTTTAAATGTGAAGAGGTTAGCTAGATAAGAAAAAAGTGTAGGGGGTTCCGAATTGCAGAGGGTGCAGGCAGAGCAGGGAGAACCCCCACACCGTGCACGAATTTTGTGCACCGAGCCTCTAGTACTATATAATAGGTCTGGCAACTTAGTCTTTCCTAGGGAGTGACTTGATTGACTCCTGAGTTAAAAGCAATTATTAATGACATCCAAGTGTCTGTCCCATAGTAGAGATCTAGGCTATGCAATAAGATTGAAATTTACACCAAAATATTTCAGGTTAATCCATGGAGCTTTCTGACATCAGCATTTTTGGAAATCCCACTATACAATTCAGAAATGGTTTAAAAAACAAGTAAATTCTGAAAATAAGTATCATCTTGAATATAGATATTTTCAACTCAGTTACACCACAGACTTTCCCACTAAAGGAATAAAAATTCCCTAAGTTATTAGGAATATTATGAAAACAGCCTACACATTTTGACCCTTTTAAAATGTTAATTTCACCTTAAAATAGGTCATCTATTTTTTAAAATGGTCTACAAAAGAAAGGGTGTCCATTTCACTTTGATTTGGAAGGTCACAAATATATTATCAGGATGTATGGTATGGTCATGGTGACATGTAATTTCATTTCTTTTTAAATATAAGTATTTAGGAAGTAATGCCATACAGAAGCTTCTTAAGTCATAGTAGCACTTGCTGGGGTATATGCCTGAGGGTGAAATTTTTGTGGCTCAATTTCTAAAATAAGAATAAATTAGCACTAATCTGTAAGTATGTTTGCTACCTGCATCACAGAACTAATTAATTTAAATGTAGTTTTAACTTTTATAGGAGCCCACATCCTAAAGATGGATGAACCATAAATCCCTTCCGGGGGGTCTAATAATATATTATTTTATGCTGTCCCTCCACTATGCGCCTACTTTCTTTTCACCGCACCATTCAACTGTGGCTGTATTTTCTGTGAGACAGAAAATGTCTTTGTCTCTTCTGCCCTTGCAGGCCTGTCTTGGTTAATGTGAAGTAAGAGTTGTTGGGAGGAGATCAGAGGCCAGAGTTCAAAATGGAGCTTCTGGCATTCTTTGCAGTTTTAACTTCACCATTAAAGTCAGAGTTGCCATCAGTAACAGGAAAATAACCGACACCATAGGATTATGGTGAGGTTTCAGGAAGTCTGAGTCAGTAAATAAGGGTTCTTAATCCATAAAGCACCTCCTTTCAGGCACCCAGGACAGAGAGACAGGGAGCTGGAGCGGCTCTGCAACCAGGACCTCACTAGCAGGGCAGCGGCATCTACTTTGGGGAAGCCAAGGGAAAGAGGCAGCGCCCAGGAAGACGGGTTTACAAAGCTTGTCCCTGCAGACAGCGGTGTCCGGCACCCATCCCATCTCACGCATCCCCAGTCAGGTTTCCACCCCTTGGCTTAACCCCACCGCCAACCCCAATCCCCACTGACCGCCCAGGCCTCTCTGCCCACCCTCCAGGCCTAGGTGTGGGAGGCGGGAGGGGTGAATTCCCGGCCTGGCGGAGAAGACCCAATTCTCCCGGCGCTGGGAGAGCCCGGCACTGAGGCGGGCGGGGGCTGGGGTCGCTCTAAAGCAGCAGAGCAGCAATACCTCCTCACAGTGGCGATGGTACTCCTCCATCGTGTTTCCGATTCTCCCCGGGGCGGAGCGATGGGCGGGTGGAGCTCTGCGGCTGCGCACTGTCCTCCAGGGAGACACCGCCCTTGTTTTTGTCCCGGGTGTTTCCTAGAAGCTGCCTTTGTGACTCAGCGGCTCTGCCTTCCGGCATAAATTCAGAGTTCTAGGCGATCCCAGGTCTCTCCAGCTTCCTCTGACCTTTCTGGAAACAAGGGATGGGTGTTAAAGAGCTGGGGATTGTGCCAGTGTGGATCATATGACGTGTCCTGGTGTCAGTTGCTCTAAATCCCGCATTATTATTTGACTGCCCACTGCTGTGGTTATTTGCACATATTTGTTCATCATCCTCCGGCAAATAAGTGTAGTTAATGCAATGGTGATCAAGCCTCTTTGATTTGTCCAATTACTAGCTATGTTACCTGCAAAAAATTAACCTCCCTACAGCCTCAGTTTTTTTGTATGAAAAGTTAAAATTATATCCATTTCATGATTGGTTGTAAAGATCAAATGAGATGCTGTATACATAACTCCTAAAGTGTACACTCCTATACTCCTCCTCCTCAATGTCTATGTAAAAAGAAACATTAAATTCATAAGAGAGAAGGTACAAATATCTCTATTAATTGATAACTTTTAGCAGAACAATGATTATGTTTATTTAAAAATCCCTAAGAGTTTAGATGATCCTAAAGATTTTCACAGTGAAAATCATAACAACCCAGCAAGTTTGGTTCACTTACCACCACCACATTTTTATTTTTATTTATTTGCATTAAATTTTGGGGGATGAATGGTTAATAGGATCATACAGGTTTCATGATACATGTGTACATACATTTCTATGGTATATGATCTATATATTGCCTTATGTATCCACCGCTCAAAGGCAAATTGTCTTCTGTTACCAAATATTTGGCCCCCTTTACACCCTTCCAACCACCCCTTTCTCTTCCATCTGTTAACTACCATACTATTGTCTGTGCCTATGAGTTTCAGTTTTATAGCCCACATATGAGTGCAATCATATTGTTCTTAGCTTTCTCTGATTGGCTTATTTTGCTTAGCACAATATTCTCAAGCCCATCCATGCTGTCACCAATGGCAGTATTTCATTATTTCTTATAGCTGAGTAGTATTCCATTGTACATATGTACCACATTTTTCTTCTTTATTCAGTCCTCTATCAAGGGCACTTTGTCTTGCCCATCATAAATAATGCTGCAATACGCATAGGGGTGCACACATTCTTTGCAAATAAATGTGGTTTGTTTTTTTTTTTTTTTCTTAGTTTCTCAGGTAGATATCCAGAAGAGGAGTTGATGAATCATAACTCTATTTTTAATTTTTTGAGGAACTGCCAGATTATTTTCCATAGTGGGTGTATCAGTCTACATTCACCAGCAGCGAATGAGGGTTCCCTTTTCTCCACAACCTCTCCAACGTTTATTATTACTTGTCTTGTTGATAATAGCCATTCTAACAGGTGAGGTGGTATCTTATTGTACTTTTGATTTGCATTTCCCTAATAGCTAGTGAAGTTGAGCATCTTTTCATATATCTGTGGGCCATTTGTATGTCTTCTTGGGAGAAGTATCTATGCAGGTCCTCTGCCCATTTCTTAATTGCATTGTTTGTTTGGAATTTAGTCGTATGAGTTATTCATATACTTTGGATATTAACCTCTTGTAAGAGTTATTGTTTTCAAATATCATCTCCCATTCTGGTAGATCGTCGTTTTGTTTTGGCAGTTTCCTTTGCTATGCAGAATCTTTTCAATTTGATATAGTCCCATTCATTTATTTTTTCCTTTACTTCCCTTGTCTTTGGGGCCAAATTTATAAAATGTTCTCTACAACTAAGGTCCATAAGTTTAGTGCCTATCTTTTCTTCTATGTAATTTATTGTTTTAGATCTTATATTTAGGTGTTTAATCCATTTTGAATTAATTTTTAAATATAGGGACAAACTATAATTTAGTTTCATTCTTTTGCATGTGGCTTTCCAATTTTCCCAACATCATTTATTAAAGAGTTTTTCTTTTCTCAACGGTGTGTTTTTGGCTCCTTTGTAAAAAATTATTTGCTCATATATATGTAGGTTATTTCTGGACTCATATAGCCAAAGCAATCTTGAGAAAAATGAACAAAGTCAAAGGTATTACACTACCTTATAGCTAGTTGACCTCAGAGCTACGATAATCAATACAGCATGGTATTGGCAGAAACACAGGCATGCACACTAATGGAACAAAAGTTATATGAGCAAATAATTTTTGACAAAGAAGCCAAAAACACACCATGGAGTAAAGAAAGCTTCTTCAATAAATGGTGCTGGGAAAATTGGAAAGCCATATGCAAAAAAAGAAATTAGATTACAGTTTGTCCTCATGTATAAAAAACAATTCAAAATGGATCATCCCATTTTCAAAATGAAAATTTAAGTAATTTCCTCAAGATTATATATCTAGTAGATAGTAGGTGAAGGATTTAAACTCATGAATCTGATAGTAGCACCCAAGTTCTTAACCACTGTATTAGTTTCCTATTGCTGTTATAACAAATTACCATAAAATTTAATGGCTTAAAGCATCACAAGCTTATTATTTTACAGTGTTAGAAGTCAGAAGCTTAAAATGGGTCTGTAGGACTGTGTTCCCTCTGGAGACTCTAGGGTAGAATCCATTCTCTTGCTTTTTTTTCAGCTTCTAGAAGCTGCCTATATTCTTTGGCAATATTTAGTCTCATGCTCACACATGGCTGCAGCAGTTCTGGATTCACAAGGAATGAAGGTATTACCTCCAATGAAGAAGATGGACATTGAGTTGGATTGATCAGTTTTTCCATTGACAACTCTTTCCTTTAAGTCACCAGGAATCTTTTCAGGTTCCATTGGCCAAGATTGGGCCATTTAATTTCTCCTTTGGTAAAACCTATGGAAAAGGGTGTTTGGCATCTTCATCTTCTATGGTGAAAATGAGTCCTGCTAGAAAGGAAAAAGAAAAGGGAAATAATTGTTAGTACGATAGTCCTACCCACATTTTTGATGCCGTGGTCTGCATGTAAAAGATGATAATATTTACATGTTATGTTGGGTGCATCTCTAATTAAAAATATCTTCTCCAAATTATGTAATTAGATGGAAAAGGAAAATAGAAAATATGTTAAAATTGAATTTGTAAAATCTTCCAATTGTTTTAATGAGGCCCTCAATGTTGCTTTCATGAACATAACATTTCATATCTGGATTTATTATTAAAATAGCTATAAATTCTTATTTGAGATTTTTTAAGAATACTTTGTCCTCCAAATCTTAATAGTTTCTATTGTCGAGAAGTATTCTTCATAGAACTGACAAAACATTTTTTATTTCCATAACTAAAGGTGGGTGCACAAAATGAGTACAGACCACAGATGCTGCTAAACACAGCCCCCTCAAAAATAATTTTGCTCAAAAATGTCAAAATTGGCCAAAACTGGTTTGGCTCAATGGATAGAGCCTTGGCTTGCGGACTGGAAGTCCCAGTTTCGATTCTGGTCAAGGGCATGTACCTTGGTTGTGGGCACATCCCCAGTGGTGGGTGTGCAAGAGGCAGCTGATCGATGACTCTCTCATCGATGTTTCTAACTTTCTATCCCTCTTCCTTCCTCCTCTCTGTAAAAAACCAATAAAGTATATATTTTTAAAAATGTCAAAATTGTGTTAGATGAGAGTAAACAAGAAAATTTCCCTGTCCCCATTGAGTTTATAATCTAGTGGGGGAAAGCAGCCAATATGCAAATACTACATATTTGTGTATATCCATGTATATGTATATGAATATGCACATGTGTATGTGTATGTATATTTATATGTATATGTACATGTATATGTATATAGAGTGGGGCAAAATTAGGTTTACAGTTGTAAGTATGCGAAAAACAAAGTTTATTCTTGTATTATTATTAACTAGAGGCCTGGTGCACAAAATTCTTGCACAGTGTGGGGGAAGTGTCCCTCAGCCCAGTCTGCATCCTCTCTAATCTAGGACCCCTCAAGGGATGTCTGACTGCCCATTTAGGCCTGACACCAGTAGGATCGGGCCTAAACGGGCATTCAGACATTCCTCTCACAATCTAGTACTGCTTGCTCCCAACTGCTCACCTGCCTGCCTTCCTGATTGCCCCTAACCACTTCTGTCAACCAGCCTGATCACCCGCTAACCACTCCCCTGCCAGACTGATTGATGCTTAACTGCTCCCCTGCCAGCCTGTTTGCCCATAATTACCCTACCCTGCAGGTCTGGTCACCTCTAACTTCCCTCCCCTGTAGGCCTAGTCCCACTAAACTGCTCTCCCCTGCAGGCCTCGGTCCCCCAAAATAATCTTCCCTGCAGGCCTGGTGTCTCCCAACTTCCCTCCTCTGCCAGCCTGGTCACCCAAACTGCCCACCCCTGCATGCCTGATTGCCCACAATTGCCCTCCCTTACAGGCCTGGTCCCTCCAAACTGCCCTCCCCTGCTGGCCATCTTGTGTACACATGGGGGCAGCCATCTTGTGTGCTGAAGTGATGGTCAATTTGCATATTGTTATTTGATTAGAAAGGATTAGATAGGATAGAGGCCTGGTACACTAGTGGGGGCCAGCTGGTTTGCCCTGAAGGGTGTCCTGGATCAGGGTGGAGGTTCCCTTGGAGCATGGGGTGGCCTGGCCAAGGGGCCTGTGGTCATTTACAGGCCTACCATGCCCCCTAGCAACCCAAGTGGAGGCTCTAGTGTCTGAGACTTATTTTTCTTCTATAATTGAAATTTTGTAGCTTTTAGCAGAGGGACACTTCCAGCTCGCTCCGTGGCCACAACCATTTTTGTTGGGATTTATTTATCTTCTATAATTGAAACTTTGTAGCTTTAACTGGAGGCCAAGGAAGGCCAGGGCAGATGGAAAGCTTGGCTACCTCCATTGCTGGGGAAACCCAAGCTTCCTGCTCTCTCCATGGCTGCAGCCATCTTGGTTGGGTTAATTTGCATACTTGATCCTGATTGGCTGGTGGATGCGGTTTGTGGGTGTAGCAGAGGTAGTATAGTCAATTTGCATATTACTCTTTTATTAGGTAGGACTAGGTGCACAAAATTCGTGCACGGGGATG